GCTTTAGGCATAAAGAGTGTTGTGGTTTAGGGAGCGATTGTCTAACCTATGAGTTAAAATGGCCATGTTCCAAATTGGAGTACGTGGGTTTGCATCCATGCTCTCGTTCTTGACAATTTCCTGACAATACAGTTTCCTGCCAATGCACACTATGGGAGGCAGTAGGTAATGGTTCAAGCAATTGGATCCCTGTCATTTATAGGGGAGACCTGGGTTAAGTTCCTGCCTTCCAGCTTTTCAGTTTCAACTGCAGCCCATTACTGGCTGTTGTGGGCATTTGGGGAAAGAATCAGTGGATGGGAGCTCTATCTGTCTGTCTGTCTCCCTTAACTTTAATTAACTAAAAAAGAATGATGTGATTTAGATGGTGGGCAATGACTGCTGAAGTTCACTCCCATCCTTGCCAGAAGCTGTCAAGACTCCTGATCTGCTTCAGCACCTGCTGTCTTTTATGTTGGCTCACTTGATCTACAACTGCGGCAAACACTGGCTTGGATAGTCCCAAGTTTGAACTTTGTCCTTTGAGGAATGGCCAAAAAAATCAGTCTTTATGCTGGGGACACATCTGTTTCTTTTCCAGCTTTTTAACTAAAGACTTAATTTTTCAGAGCATTTCTAGGTCTATAAAAAACTGAGAGAAAAAGACAGAGATTTCTCACTTACTCCTTGCCCCAACACATGCATTGACCCCCTCTTTATCAACATCTCAAACCACAATGGTACATTTATCACAATTGATGAAGGTACTTCAAGGCATGATAATTACAGCTCATAGTTGACATTAGGGTTCGCTCTTGGTATACATGCATACATTCTATAGGTCTGGACAAACAAATAGGAGCATGCATCTACCATCACAGTACTATATCTAATAGTTTCATTGCCCCCAAATCCTCTGTGTTCTGCCTGTATATCCCTCCCTTCCCCTAACCCCTGATCTTTTTATTGTCTCTATAGTTTTGTCTTTTCTGGAATGTCATATAATTAGATCATACAGTATACAGCCTTCTCAGTTAGGCTTCTTTCATGGCTTGACAGCTCATTTCTCTTTAGCACTAAATGGTAGTTTGGATGATCACTAAATGATAGTCTGGATGTGTCACAGTGTATCCACTCAGTTACTGAAGAACCCTTTGGTTCTTTCCAAGTCTTGCAATGGTGAATAAAACTTCTGTAAACATCTGTGCAGGATTTTTTGTGGGCGTAAGTTTTTAACTCCTTTGGGTAAACACCAAGGAGTTCCATTGCTGGGTCAGATGGTTAGAATGTGTTTGGTTTTTAAAAAAGCTGCCAAACTCTCTTCCAAAGTGGCTGTACTTCAGCTTTTGATAAACTTCATACCATCTTTTCCAAGTCAGCTCAGGCATTATCTCCCAGTGAAGTTTTTCCTCACCAATGCACACAGTGGTCTTGACGACATCTTTTCCTATCTACTTATTTCTATGTAGATCTCCCTCCCAGATCATTAACAGCTGGAGGTCAAAAATTAAGTATGATTTATCACTTTATCTCCAGCACCCAGGACAGTGCCTTGAATGCACATTGTAGATAATCAATCAGTGGTGGCAAATACAACTGAACTAGTTTATTTAACCAGTGAAGCTTGATAGATTGATTTTATTACTTTAAAAATAAAGGGACAAATCATTAATGACAAAATATACATGTGAAACATCTCACCCCATCACAGCCACATCTCCAGTGTATGCATTCACACAGTTTGACTGTGGGCAAAATCACACATTCAAACTTGTGAACTAAGGATTCCTGTATAGCTTACAAATGTTACCTATGAATGGAATATCGATTTAACTACTCATCTAAAGTTGAAAGTTACATGTTTATATATACATATGCCTAGGAATATGCTGAAGAATCTCCTGATCCTTTTAGTAAAGTGATTTCCTCATAAAACCTGGCTTTGTATGCTATAGGATTAAAGAGGTTTAAAAAATTAAAAACTACTGTTAACTCCTCTCAAACAATATACTACAGAAGGTTGGCTTCATCTCCAAGTTGTTGCAAGTGAAGGGTGACATAGACCTACCAAGTTGAGTATAATGGAATCCTATATGTAGGTCTTATAAAAGAAATCAAGCAGACTGATAGATGCTAGCCAGATAAAAGCTGTAATATTTGCATATTGGTTGAGTGGCATAGATTCCAACCTCTTAAATTGTTTCATGCACAGTGATTTCAATGCAGGCTTAGTTTGATCTTTCAGATTCCTGCTCTCTTCATTCTTGAAAGGTGTTTCTTATTCATCTTACATGATAAAATGCATAATCTGTCAAAGTAGAAACTAGTTCTATTGTTCTCTGCAGCCTGTAGTTCACGCCACATTCAGCTAAAATTGTGCAAATCAGCAGTGAACAGACACATTGAATAAAACCTCTGAGGAGATAGTGAATTGATTGAAAAATTTAATGTTCTACAGGATGTTTTTAATTTTTTTTAAATTTTAATTTTTTGGGAGTGCTGTTTCTTTTTTTCAACATTTATTTGAAAGTAAGCCAGGTTGCAGGGGAATAGATAAAAGGAGAAGGAGAATGCTTATTACCCAAATGCTGGGCCAGGCTGAAGCCATGATCCTGGAACCAAATATGAATCTTCTACATGGGTGGTAGGGATCCAAGTCCTTGAGCCATTGCCTGGTGCCTCCAAGGCACTTGTAAGAAATTGGACAGGAAGTGAAGTGGGGACTTGAATCCAAGCACCCTAATATGGGATGTGGGCATCCCAAGCATCATGTTAACTGCTAAACCACATGCCCACCTCAAAATATTTTTTTAAAAAAATATTTTGTTTATTTGAAAGTTACACAGAAAAGTACAGGGGTCAGAAGGAGATATCTTCCATCTGCTGGTTCATTCTCCAAATGTTTACAACTGTCAGAACTGCATCTGGGTTTCCCACATGAGTAGCAGGGGTCCAAGCACTTGGGTCATCTTCTACTGCTTTGCCAGGTGCCTTAGCCAGTAGCTGGATTGAAAGTGGAACAATTGGGACTTGAACTGGTGCCCATAAGTGATGATGGCTTTGCAGGCAGTGGCTTAACCTACTGCATCACAATGCTGGCCACAAGAGGATTTTCTCAAAGATTTATTTTACTTATTTGAAAGTCAGAGGGGGAAAAGACAGAAAGAAAGGGAGAGAGAGAGAGAGAGATAGAGAGAGAGAGAGAGAGAGAGAGTTCTTCTACCTGTTAGTTCATTCTTCAAGTGGCCAAAATGGCAGGGACTGTGCCAGGGTGAAGCCAAGGTGCAAGGAATTCCTTCTGAGTCTCCCATATGAGTGGCAGGGACCCAAGTACATGGGCCATCTTTCACTGCTTTCCCAGGCACATTACCAAGAAGTTGAATCAGAAGCAAAGTAGCTGGGACTTGAATGAGTCCTCTGACATGAGGTGCTGGTGTTGCAATTGGAGGCTAAACCTGCTGTACCACAGGATTTTTTTTTTTTTATGTTTTTGATTCACAGAGATGGAAGGGACTAATAAAAGTCATTTGTCTCTGGGCCACCCTCACAGAACATCTATTTGAAGTACAAAGGTACTGGTGTATCTATTGTTTAACATCCTTTAAGAAAGAAGATACCACTGTCAATATTAATCAATGGTAATTTTTAATAAACTTTCCTTGCTAGAAAGATCTCTACAGTGGAAAATTTTTCACATGGAAGTTTCTCTGCTGGGAAATTCTTTTCACAATGGAGATGAAAGAAACCATTTATCATCCTCTTATCTCGTAACAAATACATCGAATCTCTGTGAGTCAACACCAGGCGTTGTTACAGTTCTTTCTCACTTCCAATGTTATGACCATCTTTATTACTGTCAAAATCCTTTGCAAGTTACCCAAATCCACAATTATCAACTTTTAGAGCACATCATTTATGGTCACTCAGGTGCATGAATAATGAGGTGGTAACTACTTGATCCCAGAGTGTTACATGGGGTGAGTGTTTTTCCAAATTAGATTTTGTTTAAAAAAACAAAATTGATTTCAACATCTACCATGTGACAGACTTAGTGCTGCTTTGTGAAGCCTGTGACCTATGTTTATTTTAGATGTTCCCCCAAAATGAAACTCATTCAGCCTGGGGAGGTAGAGAAGCCGATGATGGTTTCTCAGGGATTTCAGCTACAGATTCTTTATTTATAAATTGGGAATATTAATCAGTTTATCACAATATTTTTATGAGGATTAAATGAGATAATAGATGCAAAGTGTATAGTATTTATAGACAACCTTTTTTTTTACTGTCATGTATTTTCTAGGAATGGAGTCACTGTATTTTCTTGTTCTCTGATATTTCATAAATCAAACGACCAAGGTTCCTTTCTTGTAATCAACTAAAATCTATCCACGATTGGGTATTTTTTTTGGTTAATTTCCTTCTATGTTCTTTGGGAACGAACAAAAACATACCCAGTCCTAGATAGATTTTAGTTGTTCCTGAGCTTGTTTTAGACAATATTTAAGTAACATCCAACAGTAATAGGCAATTTTAGGTATATGTACTTTATGTTTATTATCCCATTTAATCCACCTTCTCCCAATGAAACTGTATATGGATAATCAAATAAGTCTCAGAAATCTCAAGAAAGATTCCTGAGTCCTCATATGTAGGGCCTAGATTCAAACCTAGGTGTTTTTCCCTTTTCCTCTCTACCATGTTGCCCCCAAGGCACTTAGTCTTAACTTCTGAAGAATAAATAATGTCAATTTTTATCAATTTGTTAATCAACTATTGATAAGGAAGATAAGACAAAAATCTCATGTCAGAATAGAAACCATGTCAGCTGTTTAAATTCCTCTTTGGAATGAAGAATAATGATGATGATGATGATGATGGGTTACACATGAAAGGTGTGTTTTAAATATGAATGGAAAATTAAACCAATAATTAGTAATAGTAGGTCCAAAACTTTCAGGTTTGGTTAGTTTTTGCCAGGTTAGAAGGATTAATATTTTCCATGTCATCACACCTTTACTTACAGGTTTAACAGGCTTTAACTCAACATGATCCTGGTAGTAGGAGTGTGTGTCAAGTCCACCTATGAAATCAACTGAAAATATAACATAGCCCAAGATGAATAAATGTGTAAATAAAAATGCACAGAATACTAACTGTTTAAAGTAGAATACATAAGAATAACAAAAATATCTGTTTACTCTAAAATGGAAAAATGTATTTATCAATGATAAAGAAAGTGGTGAATTTCCAAGAAACACACGAAGAACATAGGCTCTTAGTGTCTGAAAAATCAAAGTTGTCATTGATTTCAATAAAAATTATTAGCATGAGATTTTAGATAATATGTTTGTCCATAGACATATAGACATGACTTTTCCACGTGTATATCAAAAGATGTGCTTTTTCTTCTTGTGGCCTTTTTAAAATTTACTTAAGGTGATTTACTGCATCATCAACAAGGCCTTTGGGAATTCACACTCTTTATCTTCATGCCTTCTGTCCTGAAGCTACTCCAGAAAATGTTTCATAAAGGTTTTATCTCCTTCCTTATTGCAGGGAATACTTGTTTTGTGTAAATTCAATAGCCTTTGTAATTTCTTTATTCCATTTTATTTTAAATTTTTTAGAGTGATAAAATTTTATGTATTTCATATATACAGGTTTAGGAATATAGTACTACATCCCACCCTACCCTGTCTCCCGTCCACACTCCCACCCTCCCTCCTCCTTCCTTTTTCCTTTCTTCCTTTAATTTTTACAATGATTTACTCTCAGTCTATTCAATACATGTAAGATTAATCCTGTGCTGAGTATGGAATTCAACAAATGGTAAGAAGAAAAAAGTACTGCTCCTCGCAATACAGACAAGGGCTATAAATAATCATTGAATCACAAAATGTCAATTTCATTTATATATATATTACTTTTTTGTACTCTATTAGTTACCACAGATCAGGGAAAATACATGGTATTTGTCTTTTGGGGACTGGCTTATTTCACTAAGCGTAATGGTTTCCAGTTGTGTCCATTTTGTTGTAAAAAGAGGATTTCATTCTTTTTTACAACTGAGTAGTATTCTATAATATATATCTCACAAGTTCTTTATCCAATCACTAGTTGATGGACATCTGGGCTGCTTCCGTATCTTAGCTATTGTGAATTGAGTTGCAATAAAATTGGGGATTCTGATCACTCTTTCATATTCTGGTTTCATTTCTTTAGGTAAATTCCCAGGAGTGGCATTGCTGGGTCATATGGTATATCTCTTTTCAGGTTTCTGAGGTATCTCCATACTGTCTTCCACAATGGATGTACTAGTTTACAGTCCTACCAACAATAGATTAGAGTACCTTTTTGCCCACATCCTTGCCAACATTTAATGTTTGTTGATTTCTGTAGAAGAACCATTCTATCTGGGGAGAGATGAAGTCTTGTTGTTGTTTTGATTTACATTTCTCTGATGGCTAGAGGTCCTGAGCAATTTTTCATGTATTTATTGGCCATTTGAATTTCTTCTTTTGAAAAATGCCTCTTCAAGCCTTTTGCCCATTTCTTAACTGAATTTTTATTTTGTTGTTGAGTTTTGTGACTCTTTATAGATTCTGGATATTAATCCTTTATCAGCTTCATAGTTTGAAAATATTCTCTCCTATTCTATTGGTTGCCTCTTCACTTTGCTGTCTGTTTCTTTTGCAGTGCAGAAGCTTCTCAGCTTGATGTAATCCCATTTATCCATTTTGGTTTTATTGTCTGTGTTTCTCAGGTCTTTTTCAGGAAATCTTTACCAATGCCAATGTTTTGCAGAGTTTCTACAATTGTCTCCCCTAGTAACTTGATGGTATCTTGTTGTATATTTATAACTTTGATCCATTTTGAGTTAATTTTTGTGTAAAGTATAAGGTAGTGGTGTTGTTTTGTACTTCCGTATGTGGAGATCCTTTTTTCCCAGCACCATTTGTTAAAGAGACTGTCTTTTCTCTAGGGACTGATTTAAGTTCCTTTGTCAAAGGTTATTTGGCTGTTGATGCATGGATTGATTTCTGGAGTGTCTATTCTGTTCCATTGGTCTACATTTCTATTTTTGTACCAATACAATGCTGTTTTGATGATAACTGCCCTGTAGTATGTCTTGAAATCTGGTATTGTAATGCCTCTGGCTTTGTTTTTGTTTAAGATTGCTTTAGCTTTTCTGGGTCTTTTGTGTTTCCATATGAATTTTAGTATTTTTTTTTCTGGATTTGAGAAGAACGTCCTTGGTATTTTGAGTGAGATCACACTGAATCTACAAATTGCTTTGGGTAATATAGACATTTTCATGATATTAATTTTTCCAATCCATGAAGATGAAAGATTTTTCCTTTTTTTGTGTCTTCTATTACTTTCTTTAATGTTTTATAATTTTCCTTGTATAGTTCTTTCAACTCCTTGGTTAAATTTATTCAAATGTATTTAACTTTTTTTGTAATTTCTTTTTTCAAGATTTATTTATTTGAGAGGTAGAGTTACAGAGAGGCAAAAGCAGAGAGATAGAGATCTTCCATGCACTGGTTCACTCTCCAAATAGCCACAACAGACATTGCTGGGCAAATCTGAAGCCAGGAGCCAGGGGCTTCTTCCAGGTCTTCTATGCAGGTGTAGGGGTTCAAGCACTTGGCTCATCTCCTGCTTTCCCAGGCCATAGCAGAGAGCTGGATTGGAAGTGGAGTAGCCAGGTCTCTAACAGGCACCCATATGAGAAGCTGGCACTGTGGTTTAACTTGCTACGCCACAGTGTCAGCCACTATAATTTCTTTTTATTTCATCTAAACCTATACCTTTTGTTCCCCAAGTCTACTGGAAACAAATAATCTTTGTGTCTCCTGTTCTATAGTCCTTTGAAATTATTTACTATTTTAAGCCATGCTTTGGTTGTGTTATATAGTAGTCTAACATTAAAGATCTATTGGCACATAGGAAACACTGAACCGTCAATGCGTGTGTGTATGCTCACACTCAGAACACAGTATGCAAATATTGTATCATATTCTCAGATGAAGACAGGCATTTTGATGAACTAATCAGAATATGATGAATTGTTATAAAAGTTCCACTGAAACCTATTTAAAAATTTATGTAATTATATATTTGAGACAGACAGCCAGGGAGATTTTCTATCCACTAGTTCACTCCCCATATGCCCACAGCAGCTGGAGCTTAGCCAGACCAATGCTGAGAGCAATGAACCCAATCCAGGTCTCCCACAAGAGTAGCAGAGATGCAACTACTTGGGCTATCACTTGCTGCCCCCTAGGGTACACATTAGCAGGAAGCTAGAGTCAGGGGTGAAGCTGAGTGTTGAACCCAGATATTCTTATATGAGATGTGGGCATCTAGGCTAAATGCCTGCACTCAATTGAAGTCTTAACTGCTGTGCCCACTCTTGGCAATCCCTGACTCCAGCCTTTTACCTCCTGTAGGGAGATGGAACAAGGCTTGGATGGTCAAATTTCATCAGCTTTACTTTGGGCATGAGACTTTTTTTTTCTATTTTTAAAAAGGATTAATTTATTTGTTTGAAAGGTAACATTACAGAGAGAGAGGGAGACACCCCCCTCCCTGAGAGAGAGAGAGAGAGAGAGAGATTTTTCCACCCACCAGTTCAGTCCCCAAATGGCTGGGTATGGAACTCCATTAGGGTCTCCTAAGTGTATGGCAGAGGCCCAAGCACTTGGGTAATCTTTTTTTCTAGGCACATTATCAGGGAGCTGGATCAGAAGTGGCGCATCCCAGACTTGAACCAGTGGTTGCATGGGATACCAGAGTTGCAGATGGCAGCCTAACCTATAGTGCCACACAGTCCAGGCTGTATGGATAAGATATATGAAGGCCTGTGGGGATACCCAGCAACCATGTGGCAAGGAAGCTTCTCCAGTGAGTATGACCCAAAGATCCTGAGCTTGACCCGCCCCCCCCCTTTTTTTTTACCAATTCATACAAATTACTTAGATCCTACCTTAACTAGAGAAGCAATGGGAAGTGGGTCAATTTAATATGCTGAAAAACTTTTCCCCAGGAGAGAAAGCTGTGCTTAATGGGACCATTTAAATGGTCAGATCAGTCTAAATTGTCTTTTTTCAGTTTAGATATTTAATCAAATATATGTCCCCAATGAACATTGGGTAGTATTTTAGAAGGAAGAGAATGTTGATTAAAAATTAAACTGTATAATTATTTACAGGGCACATTTAGAAGTTCCAAATAGTTTTAAAAATTTAATTATAAAATTATAATTAAAATAAAACATAGTTAAAATAATATTACAAATATAACCATTTATGAATAAATGACTCTCTTTTTGAAAATTAAATAGACAGTAACCTTATTTCTAAAAACCAATAGCATGTATATCTATATTAAATAAAACTAAAAAAACCTTTATACTGATAAGTTGAATACTAAAATTTAACATTTAAATAATCACTATTTTTGTCATAAATTCATGTACTTTGCTCATTAATCATTCCTGTCTGTAAGACATCAAATCAATGGGAGATTTTGTCAGAAAAAAATATATGTTTTTATCATTTTCATAAATTTGTTTACAGCATCCTGCAAAGTTTCTCTATATGGCTAATAAATTTGAAATTGTTCACAACCCTGGTTAGATACAAACCACAATACCATCACTTAAAGTATAAAGCATATGATTTCCAACCGAGAAAATATTCTCTTTATAGTGCTATAAGTTGTTATCCAAATTTGCTACACAAAGGATATCTGTAATGCATTTTAGCTCAAATACTCTCTCAGGCACAGTTTGCTGAGGAAAGCCATGAAATTGGATTCTGGGGGCTCTGGTTTTAGATCCTGGAAGTGAAAAGTATATTTTAGAAAAAAAAAACTTAATGCAATTAAGAGTTGGCATCAATTGTCTAGAAGAGTCCTTTATGCAGGGCACACTTGTCTACAGAATTCTTGGAAATGGAGGTGTTATCATCAAAGAACCCATAGGGAAAGTCCACAGCCAGGAAATTTCTTTGTTTTAAAACCTTTCAAGTGTACTTCTTGTGCCAATTTCCAGCAGTACAGCCAAGCTACTTCTCAGAAGTAATG